GTCCTCCCCTTCAAGCCAGGCCCGCCAGCCCGTCTGGCTGTCTGTGCATGGCCTGCCTGTCTCTCGTCTGCCGGCCTGCACGCCTCTCTGACTCAGCTGTCGTGCCAGCAGGGCTCTGCCTGCCCGGCTCTCAGATTTGTGGCTTCCTGTGCAGCCGGGCAGGCAACGGATGAGTCACCCGGTACAGCGGGTGCTCCTCCGGAGCCTCCATTCCTCTGCTGGGCGGCTCTGCGGGCCCTGCCCAGACAGGGCCAGAGGGCACAGGGTAGGCAGGCGCTGGAGAGAGGCAGCCCCGGGCTGGGGTGCGGGCTGGGCGGGGGCAGCAGGGAGGTCCGGGTCCCTCCGGAGCTGCAGCAGCCACGGCCGCAGGGGGAGGCGGCGCCCGCTACCTGGAAGTGCAGGATGATGGTCCAGATCAGGCCGAGGGTCAGCTTGGGGTTGCCGTCGGCAATGTCATCGTTCCTGATGTTCACCAACTTCACCTGCAAGCGAGGAGCCCTCAGTGGTGCCCGCAGGGAGGCTGGGGCAGGGGCGGGCCTGTGGGGTCGGGAAGGGGCCTCACCTGGCGGTGCCGCAGGTAGTCCAGGGCGATCTGCACGTTCTGCAGCTTGTGGAAGCGCATCCTCCCCTTTTCTCGGGGCTGGAGGGAGGCGTCAGCGTCAGGGCAGAGGCAAGGCCCCGCCGCCCTCAGGACCCCTGAGCCGAGGTCCTCCCCCGTGTGGTCACCGTCCCTCTCCTGTCTCAGGTTCCCGCCCACCCCCCGCAGCTGCAAAGGGGGCCATGGACCCGGAGGCCAGGCCCAGCGGGGTTTGGGAAGGCCGGCCGCCAGGCCCCGGCTGAGGGAAGGAAGGAAGGGGCTGGGGAGGAGACAATAGCCAGGAAGCCGCGGGCGGAGGGCAGTGGCATGGGGGGAGGGGTCCCCCTGCCCAGTGGTGGCAGTGCTGGCGGGTCCCAGGCCTGGCCTCGGGCAGGACAGCGGGCAGCTAGATGCACCACCATCTGACCACCCACGTGCCAGGCACAGGTTGGGCCAGGTGAGCTGGGTTCCAGTCTCAGGGAGCCCATGTGCCACCGTGGCCAGCGGGCACAGCCACTCACCAGGCGCGAGCTCCTGATTATGTCCCGCTCTCTCGGCTGCCCGGCCAGAGCAGGGCAAAGGGTAAAGGGCAGAGGTCAGGGTTCAGAGTCCAAGCAGCAGAGAAACCAAAGCAGAGTAGAGCGTGAGGTTATTGTATCAGGGTTTCGGGGAGGGAAGCAGCAGGGGTCTGGGCCTGACCCTGGACCAGAGGCCCGGGAGGCGCCAGCCCGGGCGAGGCAGTGGGAAAGGCCTGGAGGAAGGAAGGCAGACAGGGGGTCCAGGTGAGGCAGGCGGGGCCGCAGAGGGCGCGAGTGGACGCACGTACCAGGCTGTCCCCCGAGAGCACCTCCAGCAGGGAGATGAGGTTGTGGCCATCGCGGAGGTCCTCATACAGGTCGCTGATGTGCCTCTGGGCCTGCGGGACAGGGCGGGTGTCGGCCACAGGCTCCCCAGAGCCACCAGGGGCAAGACCCCAGGGGCAGGCGGCAGGGGGCCCACAGACGGTGCCCCCTGCGTGTTCAGAGGCACCTACCTCTGCCCTCCAGTGCTACAGGGCAGGTGAGGAGAGACCCGGAGAGTCCAGAAGGAGAGGAGGAGGAGGAGGAGGAGGCAGGAGGAAGCAGAGAGAAAATCACAGGTTGGAGATGAAAGGTGAGCTCCCAGGCCTTCGGGACCCTGAGGGCAGGGGTGGGGCACCTTCTGGCAGGTCAGACAGCTCTGGTTTCCCGGGGGCCGGCACCCTCCTTCCCGCCGTCTCCTCGCCTCCCTCCCCGCCGCGTGCACACACGCAGACACCCACCTTGATGAGGTGCTTGTTAACCCACTTGGTGAAGGTTTTCTTCTGCACACGGTCCCGCTCATCTGCGAGAGACAAGCCAGGTCACCTGGGGCCTGTTTGAGCCCCGGAGGCGACCACCACGCAGACCCAGTCACACAGACCCGGCGCCCCCACCAGACTGGCAGAGACCATGGGCCCAGGCAGCCGGCCCCGTCCAGGCAGAGAGGGGAACGGGAGGCCAAACCAGGTGCCCACTGCTCAATCCCCCCATTGTCTCCCGACAGAGATGGGAGGGTCCAGGGCTGGCAGGCGCACCCAGAGCCAGAGCCAGAGCCCAGAGCGCACAAGTCCCAGCCTGCCCCGTCCCCACACACGCTTCCCAGACACCTGAGCGGAGAGTTTTCCCCAGGACCCAGCCACGTCCTCCCAGCCGGGTAATGGGCCTTTTCCGGGGCACAGAGAGAGCCCCCCCACGAAGGCCCTATGCCCAAGGCCCAGAGGCCACTGCCAGCCTTGCCAACATGGGCCCAGCCCTCTCCCTCAGGCCCCAGGCCCTGTCTGAGTCTGTCCCCCAAATTCAGACCCTCAGCGTCCGGGCCCCCCCTCCACCCGGAGCCAGGCTTCCTGCCACAGGAAGTGGGCCCTGCCCTTTGCAGCCACTACCTTTCTTGCCCTCGGAGGCCCTGAGCACAGCCAGGTAGAGGTTGTCCTCAGAGCTGGTTCTCTTGCTTCCCAGGCCCTGGGGCTCGGGCACACGGAGCCGGTGCTGAGACATGGCGCCACCCGCCCCTCGCTCTTGGTCCCCGGCCCGCAGGTGCTGCGCTCGG